TTTTGTTATAACGGTTTTGAAGGCAAGAAGGCATACATAAAAACCTCCCATTACCAACAAGTAGGTTTATTTGCTTCTTTAAAAATTATGTATATTTTCTAGTTGAAACGAAAAGCAAGAAAGTATGTGATATGAAATTTTAGAAATGCCTTCAGATTCAGGCCAATTATTTTGAATAAATGAATTATTTAATGGATTCTATTTTAACGTATTTATTGCGTACATTTCAAAACAGTGGAAAACCAATTAAATTAACCAATAAAAATTATAAGAAAGGCAAGTGCATAATTATAAATGATGAGCAGAATATAGTTTATTTCAAAGCAAGCATTGTATTTGTGTGTATTTGTACTTACTTAGTTACTCCATGGCTCTACAACTGGGTGTGGGTCTTAGCCAACTGTACTATTTGCTTCCACTGTTATCGATCTTCCATGAATGCTGGATCGTATTCTATCCCCATGATCCTTAGGTCCGCTTTGATGTTGTCACCCCATCTCATACGGGCGACCCAAAGGTCTTCGCCCTATTGGTGTTCCTTCCCAAGCCAATTTCATCATCCGCATGTCGGGCTGCCTTTACACATGACCCGCTCATTGCAGCCTTCTTGCCTTTATCTCCTTTACAACGTCTGGATCTTTGTATAATTCTGATATTTCCTGATTGGTTCTTACTCGGTATTGCCATCACTGGACTTTGCAATGGTCCAAAAATCTTGCGCAGAACTTTTCTTTCAAAAATTCTCAATTTCCGTTCGTTGTCTTTGGTCAGGGTCCAGGTTTCGCAGGCATAAATAACAGTCGGTCGTATAATGGTTTTATAAATTGTTATTTTTGTTCACCGCGAGATGTCTTTCGATACTAGCACTGATCGTAGTGCATCAAGACATTTGTTTTCACTTTGAATGCGGATTTTAATTTATTCTGTCAGATTATTATCTTGAGTGATTGTGACTCCTAAATACTTAAAAGTTGCGACCATCTCAAAATTGTATTCCCCCATAGTGACATTTTGGCTCACTCTATCTTTACGTATTGTTCTGTTGGTGTGCATATACTTTCTACCCTCGAAAATGGGTGTTTTACAGTTAGTACTGTGTTACCCACCACATCAGTATCATCGGCGAAAGGCAGTAATAAAAAAATAAAAATGAGTTGATTTCATCCACCAAATAAAAGGTACTGGTACTTTTTGTACCATGACACTCAATAATTCTCACCGCTTGTTTAAAGGGAATTAACTCGATTGTTTCATTAAAATATGAGTCTTACATAAGAACAAATTCATAGCGAGTTTTACTAAAATACATAGTACCATTCTCCCGATATATCGAAAAAGATGCAATGCAAAAATGCAAAAAATAATTATATGTTATTGGCGGTTTCGGAAGATCGAAAAAGACTCATGGGTGCGAATCTGACAACAATATCACGTACCTATTTAATAACTGTGATTTAGCCGTATCCTGCTTACTGGGTAATTTGCCGAAAAAATAAGAATCCAAGTAGACAACAAACACTTTTTAAAGCGATTTTATAAATGAGTACAGCAACGTTTGTTTGCGTATTTTATTTTTCTGGTTCACCGTTTATTTGAAACTAGTTCACCACCACCTACAAAGCCAATATAGATGTTTGATAGTGGTCATATTATGGGTGTCCATTACCATAAAGAACTCCCATTGATATTTTTCAAACATGAATAAAACATCCAATTAGAATTGACATTACAAATCGGTTTTTTTTCGCGGAATAAAAAACGTTTATTGTTTGCAACAATGTAGATCCAGTCGATTTTTCTAGACTGAAATATTATGCCTACATCTAATGCTGATCTGTAATTCAAAACCAGTAGTGTGATGAAATAAGTGGCAACTCTCGAATGATCGTAGTGTGTAAACGTACTACTCCGATAGACGGGGACGTTTTCCTTGAAGTCTGCGTTCGGTAGCCGTCACGTGGTGGGTGGAGTACTTTCACCAACAGTACTGCAGCAATCAGCAGTACTGCGGTACTGCGGCAGTCCGTCCGCCTGTGCGTCACCAAGGCCGCGCCATGCTGGTGAAGGTATTGTGGCAACTACTTCATTACCAATCTGCGGTCTTTAATGTACAAAGATTGATTAATTGGTATTAATCAAGATTACACAGCAATAACAATGACTTGAATGCTCTCGGTAGGGTACGGAAAAATATTTTCAATAATCACTGGTTAGTCCACTTTTTGTTTGTTTGCATGAATTGCAAATTATTCGAATTTTAATTAGAACATTATACGAAAGATAACAATCCAATAATTTCTATGAGTTGCTGAAGTTTATAATGTTAGTTTTCTAATAAAGCGGTTTTATCCAATCAATAACGGAAAAAAGTGTTCAAAATTCAATCATTATCGCATTTTTCACAATGAGCAAGATCCTAGCCACTCTAATTCCGTGGCTTGAAATTAAAAATTGACTTTCCTTGCGGTTTACGGGACATTTTTATAAAATATTATTTACTGTTTGCTATGGAAGCTTGAGCTGCGAGTCAACCAAACATTCTTCTTCTTCAACCTAGCGTTTCGATATTTATTGGCATAATATTTTTGGGTATTTCGCATCTAATCTCAGGGTTGATCATTTCGTTTTTTTTTTCATGTTTAATGTATTGTCTGGCGAAGATTCTACGATACTCGCCGGCCCAATTAGTACATGAAATTAATTTCCAAATATTTCCTTAACGTTTCGATAGCTATCTTGTTATTCTCTAAAAGACAGATCCAAAAATAGATAATATTTGTAAATTATGAAATAATCGTTCAAATATATATAGATGGATTACAAAAGTGGAAATATTGACTCCGAATTTGTACGCTGTTAAAAACATTTTTCAATTTTTCGTCAATTTTTGTAAGATCCAGTATTGAAAGTTTGACCTATTCGCTGAATTAAATCTCAAAGACCTAGAAGACATTTACTCACTTGGTTTATAACAGGTCCATTTTAATTTCCACTAAATTGTGAAATTTCTGAACCTTTTTTAAATTAGTTCATCTTTAACACTGTCATGTGGGTTTTCAATACCTATATGAAGGACTCAAAATTGCTTAAATATTTCTTATTTATTACATCCCAGTAGAGCTTGAGTTTTTTTCTCATTTAGATACTTTAATGGAACCTTTTCCTTCAATTTTCCTTTACTATTTGTACTTTTCTCGTGCAGTTTAAGCGTAAGTATTTGATTTATTTGATATTACTTTTGTTAGATAGTTCGTTTTTAAAACAAAAAGCGCTTTCATAATCAGTCTCTACCAGACAACGAGGAAAAGTTCTTTTTTAGTTCCAGCACGCTGATATGGTGGTTCAAAACACAGAAATAAAGAATTTGTTGTTGTTCCTCAACATTTCTTTAATATCAGAAAAAAATCTATATCTGGCAGCAAGCGTTAAATGAAACAACAGTAGTATTTTCAAACGCACAACATTAACAACTTTACTAAACTTGAAATCACCTAACAAGGTAAGAGAACGGAAATACTAATATCAATAGACTGGAAACAGGACAGGAAGAAAAACTATTGTTCAGTGGAAAATATTGCACAAACGTTATCTGCTTTAATTAATTCACATAAAAAAAAAGGATTTGACCTAAAAAGCTGAAAACCAAGTTCTTCAAGCGATCCAAATTAATATTTTTCCTTACTAGGTTTCATTATAAAAAATACCACTTATTTCCGCTTTAAGCGCACGCACAAAAAGCCAACATCTGAGCTGAAATTATTTAAATTAGATATACATTTTTCCGTATGATTTCAAGTGATATACTCCAGAAAAACAACATCAATTATCTTTGAGCTTACATTTTTTAATAAGAATTTATTAATATATTCACAAGTTGTTAATAAAATCATTTATACTTACGCCACTCTGGAAGCGATCTTCTTATAACTCTCGATTATAATATTGATCAAATTCAGTTTATTTGTTATGAAAGCTTTATTCTGTATGTATCTGATTAATATGATACTTAGCACCGCAGAGAAGCGTTAGTTCCTTCGCCACGGCGTCAAAATGTATTTATTTTTAGATATATATAGGACAATGTAGTTTCTCAATAAAGAAAAACAAATTGACATAGTAAAACTTGGTGCAGAGGTGCAAAACTAACATTATTCATATGCGTAAAGAAACTTGATAAAGTATTCATAATTGTTTAACATAGTAAGATTTTCAAATTGTTTCATGATATACATTGTCGAATAATATACCTTTATGTATTTCTATGTAAATAATAACATTAACAAATTATTAACTACTCAGCCCGAAAGCCCTGGAGTTAATTTTTAGCTTTCGACTAAACAAATATATATTAAAGATAAATTAAGACAAAACCTAAATGTTAGGACAACTTAGAAGTTGTTGAAAACTTGAACTAGTTGAAAAGAACAAGTAAAATTTAAAAACAGTACTTTTTGAACTGTTCTACTCTCCTGTTTCAATTAAATTTAACTTGTTTTACCGTAATTTTCAAAACTGAGCAGATCACACTCTTCTCTCAATTCAATTACTTTAATAACTTGTTTTCATAGTTTTTCGAAACTTAATTTGTTTCTTTTTTAAACATCTTCGAATCGAATATTATTTATTTTATACATTTGACACCAATTAATAGATAGTTTTTGCAAAGTTTGTTTTGCAGATTCAAATAAAATAAAGCAGCACTTTTTGTATTAAATTTTATTTCGTTCTCATAATCATAGTCAGTGAAATATTCCTAATAATACATGAGTATCGAAATGTTTTATTATACGATTGTAATTTCCATTATAGCTATATAATTATATCTTACCATAATTTCAACAAGTTCAAGTAAAACTAAAAATACTAATTAAGTATGTTATAATACAACCTAAATGATACGAAAATACAAAAAAAAACCTTTGGCATAATTTCACAAATAAATAAACTTTTGGCGAAATAATTTAAAACAATTTCTCATTAGACATTTCAACCTTAACAAATACAAAAAACACTTACTAACCAAGTTTAAGTACAAGTTTCTCAAACTATTTACATTAAGCGGTGCAACACCATCATTGCTTAAAAGTTGGCCTACATTTTCGAAAATAGTTTAAAATGGGTACAATGTACAGGTGCGGTGCGGTTTAGAAATTTACGAAATTCGACAACAACCGTGCTGATAATAATTTGACAAAGTTGAATGTGTAGGAACTTGAAAAACGCTTAAAATAGTAACTGGAAAACACCTTAAAGCTAATAGATATGTATACTATGGATAAATTCAAATTAACTCGAACTACATACAATTATTAACACAGACGGTTCATTATTTACCAGACCTACCACAATGTTTGCAATTATTTTAATTGTTACTGTTGCACAATCAGCAAAATTATCTCGTTATAGACTGATCATTATTGTTTAAAATTTCGTCGCATGACGAATCCTTTTTCGAAAAATCTTCAACAGATTCTGTCGAGTACACTTCGGAATCATCCTCATCTTTACCGACAACATCGATATCTTGAAATGGCGGAGAATAACGTCTGTTTGGATTGTAATAATCTTGTCCACTGTTCGTGGTGACTTTCCCTACAAAATTCCGAATTTCATCCAACCGAACATAAGCTTCTTCGCGCTCATTCTCGTTGCTACTTCCTGGCGAATCTGCCACTGCTACCACTCCATTGCCATCGTCAGTTTCATGCTTTTTCAAGTGTCTATCCAAATTGGTCTGCTGCCCGAAACATCTTTCACAAAGAGGGCATTTAAACGGCTTTTCCTTGTTATGAATATTCCTTACATGTCTCTGCAAATTGCTCGAGATACTAAAGCTCCGTTCACAATATCTACATTTGTACGGCTGTTCGCCAGTGTGCGTACGCAGATGTCGCGTTAAATTTGCGCTTCTTGGAAACACTTTTCCGCAATACTTGCAAGCATATCTATCCTTAATTTTTCCGGAGTTTTGCTGATGAATAACATCATGGTACGGTTTTACCGGGTTGAAGCTTTGCAGCCCTGGCCTGAGCAGGTCTAGTCGTTGATGGAACGAGGTACCCATTAAAGGAAATCTAGGAGGGCCAAAAGGCAAAAGTCTATCGGTGTTCTGTTGAAAATTTGGAAAATTTGATCGGTACATATCCAGAACCATTGGGTATGTGGGTCGAGGATAAGCCATGGGAGGTGTTATAGGAGAACTTTTCTTTTGCTCTTCCAATTCCACTATTTCGATTTTTTCCGCTTTGACTGGTGGCGGAGGGGTGGCTAAGCGGCTTTCAACTTTCTCCACTTTGTGCTCTTTCTTCGGCTCCTTCTCAGGAGCCCGAGTTGCATTCCAACCAGAAAGATCCAACGGTTGATCGCCTTCTTCGCTAGTAGCAGAACTCGGTCTAGATGCAGTGTCTTTTACCGTTTCGTCTTCTGATGTTGAATGCAGTTTCTCCCTCGGCATGGAAAAAGTAGTTGGTCGAGCCGGTGATGGAGTTAAATCGGCCTCTTCCGCCGTTGGCGGACTGACTTTTTCTGCAATTATTGGCACTCTTGGAGGAGTAAAGCGCTCTTTAATGTACTGTTCTCGTTTGTCTGGACTAGTTTCCAACTTCATTCTTTTGCACTGTGGGCCTTCATCCATTTTGGGTCGGTGAAGGGGATTCAAGAAGAACGGCGGTAAAAAGCTGGGATTGGGGCCAGACGGAAGCAACATATTTTGCATTTGGTAACTGGAAAATGGCGATGGAAATGGAAAAGGAAGAGCAGGAGGCCGATAGAATGGATAGCTGCTGGCCATTGAAATCTGTGGGGGTGACGTTAAAGATGAGGGCTGTCCGGTGGAGTCACAAAACCGTTTATGCTTGGAGAGTGAAGTTACAGTGGAAAAAGGTTGTCCACACTTGACGCACTTTATTTGGAGGCGGCAATCTGCGTGCATTCGCTTATGTCGACATAAATTGGAGAATTGAGTGTAGGCCTGCAAAAAACATATTTCATTAGCATAAAATAATTCTTAGAGGTTAAAATCATCTATAGCAGAATGTGCAAGGTGGGCCAGTTTCCAGAGCGGCAACTTTGGGGAACGATCAGTTCGCATTCTAAACTATATTCAAGAAACGCTTGGTTATGGAAATACAAGGTGTTTAAATTTGGCTTTAAAAGATCAAATTTACTAATTGTTTCCAAACGGCCATGGATAATTTAAATAATTTTTACGGGGAATAACTGAACGATGGCGCACATTTTACGATTAAAGATAATTTTTTTTAAATCTTTTATAGAATATAAATCACTTTGTAATTCTTCCTTCAGTTTGAAACAAAAAATTTTGATTCGATTTAGCTCAGCGTTTCAAAGTAAAAATTAATTGATAATCATTTACAGTACATAACTTTGATTTTTGAAGCCAAATTTAAGCATCCTGTATTTCCTTAAGGGAAAGTTTCGCGAATACAGTTTGTAATGCAAACTGATATTGTTTTCCCATTTTCCATCGTTTCCTGACGTCGTCCCTCTGGAAACTGGACCACCCTGTATAACTGCTGACTTGTGTTCCCATATCGAAAATTCCATCAGTTTCAAAATCCATGAATACACACCTTAAAACACACTTCGCATTGAAAAGGTTTCACAGATGAATGAATATTGGCATGCTGCTTCAATCCAGATGAAGAATTGAACGTTTTTCCACACTCTGGACAAGCATGAGATCTCGCACCGACGTGATGTGTTCTTATATGCCTCTGGAGATTGCTGGGATCCGTGAATACTTTCGGACAGTTTTCGCAGTGAAACTTTTTGGTCTCACCATGTATAATGGCTCTGTGTCGGATCAAACACGCTTTGTCTGAATACAACTTTGGACACAGATCACACTGATATTGGTCTCTTCGATAGTTGTGCTTGTGAATTAGATGTTCATCTAATCTGAAAAAACAACAGTTCAATTAACTTTCAATTTATTTCTACACGGCAGTTTCACTGAAGTTATGGGTAATGTCTTTGTAGCAGGAATATTCGATTTGATGGTTCGAAAAACAAGAACTAAAGCATTGATGGATTATCGTGCACTGGAGAGCCACCATAATTAATAAATTATTTACGTGATTCACACACGACAACACTTCGTCCCATTATTAGTCGAAGTGCCATTTGGTGATGTTCACACGATTTAATTTTAGTTTTGTTCTGGGAGTTAATGTAGCTTTTCGATGCCGCTTGGAAATTACTAATGGGTCTAAACAATGAAAGTCGCACAGTTTTTTACACAGAATTAAATAAACTTTCTAGCTTAGAACAAGTCAATTTAATATTTTAATGTTTTTCACTAAGATTCCATGTGGCTTTGGGTAACTAATAAAGCGGTATGTATTCAATTTCATCATCAAGTGATAAAAGGATCAGACATATTTGGTTTTCTAAAACCCTAAATTTTTTTGGAACAATACTACTTGAGGAATAAATACTCGTTTGAATTTACTGATGTTAATCGTGATCTCATAATTATCAGTAAGTACAGTGACCAAATAATTGTTAAAGGTATAGTTGTTTACTCTTTGTGCTTACGTTATTGTTTCAAAAAAATGTTTAATTAGTTCCATAGAATTTTTATAAATTGTTGCATATCGATTTTTTATTTTGCTTTATTAGACGAAATATTCCTCATTTTAATTAAAAACTCTATCAGAACTGACCGCGTAAACATATGCTTGCTTAGAAAGTAGGCATTTAAGGACAAATGGCCCAAAACGTTACTTTGTATGATAAAAGTGCTTCCAAATGTAGGAAAAATCATTAATGGATCACATAGAGTATTTCAGGAAATCTACTTACTTTTCTACATCACTAAACGGTTGATCACAGTTGCAACATCGAGTTAGACCTTCATCGTCCTCATCGTTTTCGCGGTCATCTACTGTTCCACTATGTTGAGAAGCTGGAAAAATTAAAAACAATTACTTTAAAACATTGACGCAAAAATTGTTTTGTTGAAAAATCAATCGACTAATTAAAAATACAATTTAGCTTCTTCACCTCAACATTCACAATCATTTACGCCCTGGATTAGAACATACCGAAAGCACAAATGTCACTGGAACAACAATGAATCACAACATATCCACAGGTTGTTAAACAATGTCAGGTAGCGCACCTTTTCACCCTCTAAATGAATCGGTAAAACACTAAAAAGCCGATATCTCTCTACTATGCCCCTATACGACCCCCTCCCGAAATCAGTCAGTCAAACAGCATAGACAACATTTTTACCCTTTTTTCGTAATTGCCATCACTTATGTCGGTCAGTTAGCCCTACAAAAAAGCATAGTGGGGGAAGGATAAGCTTTTTGAAAGTTCAAACTCGATAACTCTTCACTTAAAAGCCTATCAATGTAGATGGGCCAAGAAGATTAACTAACCATTATCTGAAAATTCGATTAGAAAATTAAATTGAAGGTGAACGGTATCTATAAATTAGACTTGAGTTACCAGAAAACAGTCTAAATCCGGAATTTTTTTAATTTTAATTTGGTATCCTATGCATATAAACTCAATGATTTTTAGTAATGTCTTAAATGTGTTTAATTCCCTTATTGGTCGTCTTTCCGAGATAATTTTGCAAGTAAATCTAAAAGCAACTCAACTAGATAGAAAGTTATTATTTTGCGCGAAAGCAAAAAACTGCCGGAAACACAAAGCATTTAGTTCAATAACTCAACTTTTGTTCGATTTACTTGAATCAATTTACCACAAAATTAAGAAGCTTTTTTCTGCACATTTTTTAGATGAATAAAAAAGCTGTTTATAAAATCCAAAACATTATTCATTGAAAAACACGTTATTACTAATCACGTTAATTGTCAGAAACCAGCATATACTGATGATGTCTACGTAAAGCTAAGAAATGTTAAATACAGCCAGCCTAAACCGCATATTTAAGTAGTTGGATGTGTTGTGGTAAAAAAAATAATTTTGTTCCATGAACCGAACGAAATTATTCAGCAGTGTCAAATAAGGGTTGGAAGCTAAATTATTAAAATTAGGGATGTGGAGGGTGGGCTTCCGGTCGAATGCCCGGAAAAAGTCAACGTTAGATCCTGATTGATAAACGTTGTAGGCACGATCCTTCGGCCCGAAAAAAACAGCAAGTAAATAAGAATCGTTCTATATACATGGGTTTGCTTATGTTCTAGTTAATGGCTTCGAGGCATACTCCCAATTAAAAGTGAACCGTTCAACCTATTCCATAATTAAATCTGTTTGCACTTTGCCTTATTCTTTTGAATAGAAAATTTGACCAACATTTTCTTCGTAAATAAATAGCAACACAATTTCGAATAAATTAGAAGAAGTCAGTTAAAATCGAATATGAAGACTCCAGATGTTACATTTTCATGTTACTGTTGCAATTCCCACGCAAAGAAGCGAAACCAAATAGAACTGAAGTTGATGATGGTGCTTTACTGGTTCATGCTGAGCAAGTTGGCCTGTCCAAACAGGTGAGCCCAAAATAGCGTGAAATTTGACTGTTTGTTCGTCTGATGCAACGCTTTTTGAATGTGGTTTCTTGTTATTTAATTATACAGGCCAACCTTGATCGTTTGTGTCATTATTTCTGGATAAATATTTGCTAAATGTTGGTTAATGCCACCAATAGAGTAACATTTAAAGTTACTCTATTGGTGGCATTAATGATCCTAATTTTTTAGATTACTGATAAAACTCGACAACTTTTCAAAACTAGGGAATTGCTTTGGTATAAAAAAAACTAACGGATGTTTTCCTTAATCGTGGCCAATTTCTTAAAGTTGAATGTTAAATATGTATAAAAAGTTTGAGTGAACTAAATGTCGCACATCACATAACGGTTCATTTTTATGCATAAACAAGAATGAAAATAATTTTAAAATAGTGTAAAATATTATTTTATACTATTATAAAAATAAACAATTTTTGCGAATTATTTTTGGACGCATTAACAATTAAACTACCTACACTTTTTTATCGATTTCTAGGTCCTGCTATCTAAAGGACCTATTTTCGATATCGATACGATAGATGTTTTAGAGTTTTTTTATAATTTTTTTGTAGATTTTTAATATTGTTCTCAAGGGTATGGTTTTTGGTCTATTGAGAGAGTTTGATGTGGCTCTGCTTTAAAGATAGTTTACATAACAATTGTGCAAGTTTTTCCATGGGCATTGACTGTCAAAGAAATCGTTGTCTAAGTGAGATTTGTGTTACTTTAAACAGTGTATCTCACATGCCGTTACATCCAAATTCTCATTTTCCTACTGTGCAGGATTATTTCGTCTCCCTTTTACCTGTACACTTGCTCCCATTCAACAAGGAAATTAATACTGCATAAAAAAGTCTGTTTTCCAAAAGTGTTCAGGCGTTATTCATTTTAAGTGTTCTTCAGTGTCATCAGAAAAAAATGTCTATTGTTTCTTCTTATTTTTAAAAATATGCAATGCTTTCCTTTCTGCATTTTGCATCTAAGACTAACAAAGTTGATCGCTTGAAGCTCGAATAAGATTATTTTATTTTTGTTATATTGTATGTATTTTGTGTAAATTGCATTTTTAAACATAGCGAAAAGTTGCCAAACTGCATTATGTACAGTATGTTTTGGTCCAAAATTACGAAAATTGCTATCAAATATGCTTCTACCCTTTAAACGTGTTCATATGAATTTCGCACCTGAAAAAAAATCGCGGTTTTCTCTGTATCAACAAAATTGACATGGATTTCAGAGATCTTTCGTAGATTAAAATGCAAACGCTACAGAAACTGCAGTTTTTGGTGCAATTGGAAAAAATTTAGAAGTCAATGAAAGAAGGATAAATAAAATGAAACAGCCAATTGACTTTGGCACTCGCACACAAAATATTATAAATTATTAGCTCAAGAAAATAGCAAAAGAAATTAACACTTCGAAGTAAAGAAACCATATTCTCCAATCAGTTAAGGGAAGATTAGACGCATGTTTACAGCAATTTTTCAGTATGTATGTATCTATAAACTTTACAAGTTTATGTAAGTCGCGGTTTGAATGAAAATAAAAGGTCATTGTTTGAATGAGTGGCTTCAGTTCTTAGAAGTTTAGTCTCCCAGTGACTACAAAAGGTAAAAACAGCCAATTTGTTTTCGCCGTACATATTCTTCAGCTTCGCCAGCATGGATTTTGCTTGCTGATTTTTTGTAAAAATTTTGTATCCGATTTCTAAATCAGCTTACAATGTCTTACGCACGTGTAAATTTATATGAACGTAAATCAAATGCAGCATCAGGAATATTAAATTGCACAGAATTGGATTATGCGTCAATGCATACAAGTACGATTTAGGTTTTGCAGTTCGGGAAAAATAAGACTATCAATCATGACCGACTTGAATTGGGAGAAGCACACGTGCCCCAGCCATCTACCCAAAAACTAACCCTATCTTTCACCGTATAATTATCTTCGTCATTATGACGCAAAGGCTAGCTAAAATCCGTGACTTCTCCCATCTGTCCCATACGTAAATACATTTATTATTTCACACCCCGTATAGACACTAAAAGATTGGGCCTTATACCGAGTAATGATGCGAAGGTTCAAAATATCATAAATAACGATTCTGACGTGTGACATCTCTATTTAATCCGGTGAAAGGGTGAGACCACCGGATCACAATAGCTGTGATAATCCGGTATTGGCGAAGGTCACGTGGCCATTATGTACCGCAAGCGATTGTTTTCGACGAGTTGTCACGAAGAAGTGTGCCTCAAAATGACTATTGAATTCATGTCAGTACTTTTCATAATCTTTATTTCAATTAAAACCAAAGTGTACAAATACAAAGATACAAAAAATCCGATCTGGGGTCGCGAATTTTAAATTCAAAAACTACTTGATAAGTAAAAGTGTGTGAGAAAACATATTCAAGCATGGAAAACTCTGCTTTATGGAAAACAAGTTATTTGTGCACATTTTTATTCTAAATATGTTCAAATATATTTTTTTTTTAATTTAACTAAATATGTATTCAAATGCTATATAATTTTTTCAAGCTGTGCTGCGGAGAAATTTGGAAAAAATAAGTTCTAAGACTAAGAATCAAGCTTCAAAGTTTAATACAAAGAGTTTGAAAAGATGTGTGCTTTTTAGTCGCTTTCAAATACAAAAAATCACTTGTCTTTAAACTGCAACATTTCGGTTTTGTTCCAGTAATTTTAAAATAAATTCCGTATTTTACAGCTGGAAACTTTGTAAAAAATATTCAACTAGATCAACTGAGGCCCCACCTGACCCAAGAAATTTAAACATTGCCCAGTTTCTCGAAGTGTAATATATCGGATTGTATTATAAAGTTATTGAAACTGATTCAAGAAATATATTTTCTTTTGCTACAATAAAAATACATAGTGATATGATACATACAATACAATGACTGCGGTTTGCGGTGAGCTTATTTAAAAATTTGAAGCCACTTTATATTCCATTAAAAATATACCTAGCAAGATTGCTGATAAATTTATTGTTTGCAAAGCCAAGAGTACTTGAGTGAAAAATCTTTGTGACTTTGATTAGTACATAAACAGGAATTTTTGGATAAATTTCAAGATTTGAATTATAATGATATACATTTTAAGTGAATGTCATAGTCATTAAAGTTGAAAACCACAACTTTTGCTCTTAGCCGTTCACATGAAACTCCCTAATACCATCCATAAGCCAAATCAAATGCCATCTAAAAAAATTGGAATAAAAAAAACTACGCCCGTCTATGTGTAATTTTAATCCGCAACCGAGATGTATCTACATGAGTAAAAATGACTTTAAAATGTTTATCAAATGCACAGCAGCTGATCGCTGATTAATCGGATTTGCTTTTGCTTTTGTAGGACCGCGGGGGGTTGTAAAAGCCACCCCGATACACAACCTTACCCCTTTTTCTCTAATAGTTTTCGCCGACGTTACATGTGTACGGGGCGTGTGCGGAAAATTGCCCGCGATTTTATGGGTTACAGCGCCAATAATGGGACAACTTTTTTCATTATTTGGTCGCTGCTCTAATGTGCCATACTTTTTTTATATCGCATTGCTGCAATAATCAGAGGGTGGATGTTTCAATCCCTTGATATATATTTTGTATTAATAATGCCACTCATTTGTAATATTTGCGGCGTGCAAACGCTTTACTCTTGGGGTAGTTTCAATTGTATATCCTGAAGAATCACAATTTGGAAAAAGCCCTCAGGGTGGACACAAATCCGAGAGAAATCAGTCCCATTTTATACAAATGATTTATGAGAATAAAGAAGAAGTTAAAAAATGAACGCTCATAGCCAAATTTGTCCTGACTTCGGAACTGGATAAGTTCTGATTGCTTAGAGCGATTTGGTTTCTGTTTCAAGCATTATTGAGCCCCATTTGTTCTTTTTTCAACTAATTGAAGTTTACTTTCAAATATTTCGTTCATTCGATCAACCCGGTATATTGAATTATTATTTTCTCAAGTCCACTGTTTTTTTTAGCTTTAGCAACATAAGTCCTAGATTTTGAAAATGGGTGTAAGAGAAAGAAACTCATCACTGAAAGACCAAAAAGCTGTTTTTTTGAGACAACTCTGCATATGAACGGGATAAGCGAAAAAATGAATAACGATTTCCCATTTATGAGGTTTAATGGTGGTTTCTTGGTGGTGTTGAAAAGCCTTTTTTGTGAAAACTGAGAACACGCGCAACTTTCAGCAGTCAGAATTTATCCATTTCCAAACTTAGTCCAAATTTGTCAGTGTAACGTTGATTTTGGGGACCAGTTTATGATTTATGGATTTAGCAACTTTATGTTAGTTAATATATTCAATGTTTTGAAAAACTTCAATGTTTTGAGAAAACAAAACATGGTTTAGCAAACGGGCTTTTTTCTGGAAGATATGAACAATTGCATGAATTGACAGTTAAAGGAACGAGATTTCTCAAGTTTGAAAAATACTCATTAAAAAACCTGCAAGAGGAACACGTATTGGACGTGTTAATTATTATAATAATTCTCTTATTTCCACCCAGAATTTAATAGATTGAGAATTTTTTAAAGAATTATGTTGTCACTAAATTCTACTTACTTTTGATGTGCAGCCCCGAATAATGCTCTTTCAAGACCAACAGAACTGTGAATAATTAAAAATTCAAATTAGCTTGAAATCACTTCCAAAATCGCGGCTGTTAGGTCAAAAAGTCAGGTGTGTGAGTTAACCGTATTTGCCGACACATCTGTCGGCTGTTTGGTGCGTTACGCCCCAATCAAATATTCATTGCATCGCGTTTTGCCTAAAACAATAGGACGCCATATGGCATAGGAGTACCGATAACAAAAATAATTAAATCACTCAAAATAACGACTAAAATTCCACATTTAAAAAACAAATTATTAACAGTTGGCCATTTGACCAAGACGGGGCAAATAAAAGTAATACATCATATAACATTATGTTAATTTTTTCTAGTTTGCTAGTATTTGTTTTGACACTAAATGATTTTTTCGTCTTTCGATCATTTCTGCACACACTGTTTGTGTACCTGCTCATAAATCTACACAAAAACTCAAATGTTTGATGCACAAAACAAATGATTAAGTTCAAATATCTATGAAATCTGGTATGTAGTTATGTTTTGGAATCATTCTTGTGATTAAAATGCACACAGAAACATCGACCATCAACCATCTAATCATAATGAATCTATGTCCATAAAATCCATCCACCAAAATTAATCTTCATGTGATCCAATGAGGCAGTCAAAATACGATCAAACATTCATATCTATTGGCCGTTTTTAATCCCCAAATACCCTAAGAGGACAATCTACAGTTACATCTCAATTTCAAATGGAGTGAACTAAGCCCTTTTTTATTTGCGTCCATGCGCGAAGAGTTAAGGGTTTTAAACCCCCCGAGTTTAGGAGTTTTTATTTCACACATCACGCGTGTAGTTTTATTTGTTATCCAGTGGCGTATTAAAAAACGTCTTTCGTATAACGTGACTAAAATTCACTTAAAACAGCTGGAATTGAGGATATTTTGTTCGTATATCGTATATTTTAAACAAAAAAGTTTCGAAAACATTGATAATTTTTCAAGTTTAATTTTATGTAGCTTCTTTTTTAAACCCCTTGTTCTAGAATTCACCCGAATGGATTATGAAATTCACATACATTGCGAGAAAATATTCCAGTTAATACGAGCAATCAAGCAAAAACACATAGATTTTGATCGCAAAATGTCTTCGCTGCTTCGGCATTTTGTAAATAAGTTTTACGTACGTTTCTTGAGAATCTTTGGCTTAACAAAACTACTAATTAAAAGGAACTAATTCTTAAAAATGTAAATTGTTTTACTGCCTTTCTCTGTAAGTAATCAGTAATAGAAGCTTTAATTCGTACTTTGTTTGACTGTAATTTCTGCAACTTACTGGATTTTCTGATTTGTTCAAGTTCTTGCAAACATTGAAAACCAAATAATTTAGCTAGTTGATCGAAAAATCTGTCTAGAGAAAAATATGCAGTTAATGTGGCTGATTAACTGAACCTATTGACATCAGTGAAAATGAACACATCAAATATGCGCATAAAACCGCATAAATCGTGTCATTGTTGATGACTACAAACTCAATAAACCTCGTTTTCAAAGGAAAATTTTCCGTAAAATTCAAGCCGTAGATTCAATTCAGATAAAACTTTTTCGCATGTTTGATTACAATCACACAGCAAACACAGTTGCTCGATATTTTTGTAAAATAATGCATATGCGGTGACTCAGGCACCCATCAAAAAAAATCCGTCGCCGAGTATATTTTGATTTCGTTGTAGTCTTATAATTGGTTCTAGACCGGAAGAGGTGACCATATCCGCCATGTGCCATTTTGACTTCACTTGACACGATAATGAGACCAAATTGATTCAGAGGGTAAATTTGATTATGCTTCGTTGGAAAAGCAGGATGTGATTTCCCCATTTGGTTCAACGTTAGTGATTTATAGTTTCCAACGGTGAATTCTTGTTGAACATAGTTCTTTCAGCCTGTATTTTTGAAATCAAGCAGAATAACTTACCAGTTTCTCTATCAGATCTATCATCACTTGTAGTCGAATCAGCAAACATATCTTTCAAGTTCAAAAGTGCTTTGGGTCCCAAGCAGATTTCATCACCAGCCGCTATATCCACAATAGTCTCATACCACACCTAAAAGCGTTTATTTAGGAATCTTCCAGACTTTTGTTGCAGAATAGTTTAAACGCACCTCGCCACTGACTAGGAAATATTTCATGTTTGCTGCATTTTTATTGGAGTCACTTCGAATTAATTTTATCCAGTTTTGGTGATTCAGAGAGCCATCCAACCAACCTCGAACTTCAGTTCCGGCCACAATCTGAAAATCAAAAATTGGTCCATCATGATTCAATATTCCAATTTGTAAGTTGCTCTCATATATTTCTATTTAGAGCGGTTCTCTTAATGCACAGGGTTTTTTCAAAAGCGATGTGGACCACCATCAGTAAAAAGGTTTAAAATTCTATTGTTAATTATATAGTTCGTGTTTTAAAATATTTTATAATTCGGATCTGAGATGTTTAGATCTTTTGATTATTCAATTTAAGTTTAAAGAACAATTGAACTCGATCACAGATAATCTTTCCGAATGTCACCCAGCAGTGGAACTATAGAATAATTTGCCTTGTGAAAATGGGCAATTTAAATAATTATATATTCCACTTAATTGTGCAGAAGTTTTGGATGCAATGTGCAATGGATCAGAATGAGATTATATTGCTTGGACTATTTCACCAGCTAAGCTTTTTAACCCATACTTTTTCTAATAAGAGACGATTTTTGTTATATTATTAAAATTAAACTGCCTGCAAAATGCTCTATGCCTATTCTGTAATATTCACACTGACAAACTAACAATTCCATTGTAATTTTATTGAAGTATTTACTAAACATTTAAATCCTTCATATACGATCAATATATGTAAGGCTCTAAAGCATATGCTTCTTCGACTTTAGAAAATTTAAAACTTTTTACATTCTACGTAAAAAAAATATTTTTATAAATTAGCTACTCGCCATTCTTCGGTTGTGGATGCCACGTGCCAGTGACACGGTATCCCACTCATTTACTCTTTTAGAAAATAAAAAAGCCTTTTAAAGAACGAAGTGTTCAATAGAAGGGTAGTTTTTCGAGCGTGGCGCTATAAAAATGACAAACTTGAGAATGTCCAAATTCAGTTTTTATGTTTGACGGCAAGCTTCACTAAGCTTTTCTGGCTTGAAAGGAATTTATTTGGCCAGATCATGATGGCGAGTTTCTCTCCTTTAAACGATAAGAAATCTATGGATGCCTTCATTGACAACAGTCAGGTTTATTGAACTACTCACACATGAAATAAATGCACAGATCGCAATGTAATGTAAACATCCGCATTGTATTTCAGACATTTGCGAGCTTTGGTAATTTAGTAAGGGACAAATTAAATTTGCTCTTTATACTTTCACATGTCTCGTTTATCGAACTAAAAATAGCGCTCGTTATAACACTGAATATCCAAATTATCAACCTGTCTACAGGCACATTTATTAACCGTATTAGTAATGGAAAAAATCAACGAGAATTATGCAAAGAGAGCCAATTAAAGTCTCAGTTGACCAGCAGATTAATTATTAATTTAATTTACATTAATACACGGCACATTCATAATACATTAAATGCAATTTTAAATTTCTTGAAACTAGTAGCTCTCTTTTTCGATTATTTCTACGGACTTTACGGAAATTCAAAAATAGTTATGAAAGTCAAATTGTTAAACTGTGGATGGTCCTGTTGGCTATTGTTTAATCTAACTGAGGAAAACTGATCAGGAATTGTATAAGCATACTTGCTAATAAATAATGCGAAAATATGTATGTTCAATGGCATTTCTTTTAATTGTTATGTTTTAACATTTATATGTAACAGAGAAATTTATAATTCATATGTAAAATTTTTCACGAATATATTTGTTAAGACCAACCCATATGGAATGCTGTGGACCTTGGTACCCCTTATTTTAATCTGGATCACATAATCAACATATTTTTCGAGTATTACAAAAAAGTGGATATAATTTCGCTAAAGAAGCCAATACAAGGAACACGAAATTATTCAAAAAATATTTTGAAATTATTATTTTTTATTTAGCTGATTTACTTAATTGAAACAAAATTTAAAATGTTGAGGGTTACATTCGAAATTAACTAATTCGACTTGTTATAGGGTCGAATATGTAATTTAATCATTAAAAAAGTATTGCCAAGTCATGTTATCGGTTTGTCTGCAAGCTTAATAAATGTGTTCCAGACCGAATAGCATAAAAGAGGCAGATTTTAAATATATTAAAAGTATAACATATGAATATGGAAAAAAGTTTTGAAATTTAGACTAAATTTACAACCAAATAAAACTATTACAACAATAGTGTCTGAATAAAGCAGCACACATTATATAATCAAAGCCTAATTGACACTTCTAATTGGCGCTTATTAAGCAGTAAAATAATCCACAATACTTTCTTAAAAACAAATAAAATATTCTAAAAGGTTCATTTCGCACGCTCTAAATCGATATCTGAAAGTTTTGACATTAATAAGCGAAGTATACATATTAATATTAGACAAAATCAAGCTCGTTAGTTCCGATCTGTTCATATACAAAAACAATTAATTCCAATTTAGCAACCTATACGTTAATTTAAGCTCTAAACTGGATTTTAACGCTTTGAACTTCGGGGACATCGACAGTTATTTTATAGGAAAGATTACCACAAACCGCAAGTTCCTGCTAAATTTCCCTTTCATGTCCTGCCTGCAGGACATAATGACAGCAGGATTAAGAATCAGCCCATTAAAGGGCGGCTGTAGGGTCGTATTCGCCTCTAAGAGGGTGTTTGAAGCCTCTTGCGCTTGTTTTAGCAGTTTGAGGGCTTAATTGCTACCATGATTTTGTGCGAATCGTAAGTAGCGTCATTTAAAATATTTCACCACAATTGTGTGCACATTGGAAACACTTTAATTTGAGTTAACTTTGAAAAAAGCAGATAATCAGAAGGACAATCTGAATTAAATAATGCGCTAAAGGTATAATAAATGGAAAGGAGATACATTGAGTGTACGTACGGTCGAAATATAGTTCAATTAGCATATCGGTGTAGTTTGATGTCTTTGTTCTTGTTTTTGCAATGAACATGGTTGAGTAATAATAAAGTAGCCATCAACAAGCTAGATGTGGAAATGCAGTTTCTGACCAATTAGAGAATTTCGATTTGCATTCTTATTCGAAAGTTCATTGAAATTTCAGATTGAATTTGCTGGGCCTATTAAAGTTGCATAATTTGATATTTTGCGTTTACCGAATGCATTAAAAAAATCGTTTAAGATTTTGTTTGTACAAGATCGTGATTGAGTAAAAAGGTACCAAAGTGGTTCTTGATGGTAGTAATGCATTTTTATAATTTGAAATTGTTTTTGTGAAATACCCGATTTTGTTATTATCGGCGGCGCTTATTCGTTTCAAAATTGAATGATAAAGTTTTGAATATGTAAAAGGTAACGTTTTAGAAACTGAAAGTATTATTTATAAGTTTAGGTGAATCATTTTTTTGCTGGATTTTAGTTTTTTGAGAATTGAGAAAGAAAGAGACCTATAAATTCCACGGGAAAAAAAATTTCCCTAAATTGAGACAAAGTTTTAAATTTTCATTAACTTCATTAACACTTTTATTTATTAAAAGTATTTAGCAAAAGCATGTGCAATGTGCATGAGAATTCCATTCTATAATAAAATAAGTCGATAAGTATTGAATAAACTTTGAACTGAATGGAAAATTAATTTCTTTAATTATTCTCAAGAATTTCGAAAAATCTCCGCAGATTATTCGTTTCTGGGCCAAATTGCAACCAAGTTTAATAGCGAAAATAAGCAAAAAACATTTAAAACAATCCACTGCAAGCGCTTCACCATCTATACCGTATGGTTTGAATCAGCTTTTACCTTCGCCATATAGATTTTTTACCTGGCAGGTAAATGTAGCTTGTAAGTTGCATTGTTCACGGTTAGGTGGCACGTTTAATGCGACTAAAAAATTTTTATACCTACATCCAGGTGAAAACGTTTCAAATTATTTCATGCAATTCAGATATAATAATATAGAAGATTTTCTGAATAGCCAGAACAGAAATCCCTACCATCATCAAAACTAGTATTTTAAGTTAGAGGAGTAATTTGTCGTTTCATTTGAACATTTAATTGTTTGCGAATATAATTCACAACGATAAATATGTTCTTACAAAGTGTTCTTCAAATTATTTACTAACAATCAAAAATATCAAGTGCACCATCTTCTAATTGTTGGATTTTCAATTAAAAGGAGCAAATAAATCCAGTTTTTGCGACATCTAACAAACCAACGATAACGGGTTAAATTAGAGCGATAACGGTAAAATCCGGATCACATGAATCCCTCACAAAGTGCTTCCCTCACAAATTGAGTAATGATTTAATTAAAATAAATTGTACGATAACAAACAATTAACTTTTTGAATACTTAAAGACTTTTTGTATTCGGCGAACCGAATAAACACTTTCAGTAATAATATTAGTAATTTTAATGGAAAAACATGTTAAGATAAACAGTTTCTGTTGATTTTAAACTCCAGACTTTGGAGCAAAATCCTCATTTTGAATGCAAACTTTATCAAAACTGGCCAAATCGAACCATTTTCGGCACTTCTCACAAAAGTGATGTTATAACCATTCGAAAATCGATCAGGAGTATAGAAAAGCTGCAAAGGCTTCCGATATTCGGAAGCTGTCGAGTGTTAATAACCCGATTAGGACGGACGTGATTTCACAATTGAATAGGAGGAATTGGGACGTTTCGTAGGAAAAATGATTTTTAAAAAAGGGCGTTAGTTCTTGAATAACGTCATTATTTCGGTGATCGATGCATCTGTTGCATGATATTAAGTTATCTCGGCAACTGCGTGCTGTAATAGGATTATTTTATTAATCCTGTTTGAAATGCGGGTAATAATTTATTTTCAAAAACCATCAATTTTTCTGCCTTTAAAAATATCATGCAAGCTTTTCAGAATTGATAATTCTCATCAGTAACCTGTCCGATGTAAATTATCCTTCCAGATGTTACCGGGAAGCACCAATTATTAAAGTTAATGATTGTCCGGCATGCTTCCACCTAGTTTTTGTCCGAGCCCATTTATATCTCTACCCCCTTTCCGAGTAGTTGACATTATTAAACTGTGATTCATCTAGATTTTTTTGCACGTTTCGTTCGTTATCGCATTTTTGTTATCATTGTCAGCTCCTGGATCTTCGCAATCAGCTGTATCTAAGGCATGTTTAAACTTTCAGAAAGCCATAAAAAATCAATAAAGATATGGAATAAGTGGCACGTGTATTTTTATTTTTGAGTACCCAATGACTTGCATTGACTATTATCAAAACATTCTGACTTAGTTTAAAACCTGCAGCAGTGTATGTTATTTCCGCAAAAATAAGGTGTAATTAGTCTCAAAGTGTTCTTAATAATGGTATTGTTATCTATTTATATTTAGATTTTCAGTAGGTACGTCTCATGTATTTCTACCGCAGTAGTATACAATTCTAACAATGAACAATAACGTTTTCAAAACAGCTTTTCTACATGTTGCGTTAGCTTAGACCCACTTCTGAATGCATCACTATTACATCTTAATCTCATCCGCTCGTGGAGAGAAATCTGAAATTTCCGTCGTCATCTCAAGAAATGGCGGGCGGAAATCAGCCGGAAAATGCTTGGAAAAGCGGCCGAGACTCGCAAGGGAAATGATGCAAGGAATATGCAGCTGACTCTTAGATTTCAAGCCTTCCTGAACATCGATGACTTATGATGCTTCTGGCAAATTGCCCAAAAATATTTGCTCGAAATACTTTTTGGCGAAAAATGTATTAGACATATTTATATGAAGGAATCATATAAAATTACTGGATACCACGTTTGCTCTTGACGATGCCATTGCCAGTTTTGATCGTTTGTTATAGTAAATTTAGACGCATTTAAATCGGATAAATTATATCAACATATTTCTGTAATCAAACGTTTTTCTCAAATTTCAAATCAATTTGAAAAATTGCACTTTAATGTAAAAAAATACGCTGAAATATACATGAAAATATGCAAATTTAGTGCAAATGTTAATGACGAAAGAAAGCCCTTGCATACTCCTTATCTGAAATTGATTCACCCCGGCTATTCCATTATATCCAATTATATCCATAGCAAAATTGACTCTAAACCATCAATAGAACTAATCAAAGTGCCATTTAAATAAAATCCATCCAGCCATTGATCCGCATGTTAATTTTTTGGGATGTTCAGATAATTAAATCAATTGCGATCATTGACATGTGATTGGCACTTCTATTCAAATCGTGCACCGTGAGAAATAGTCCCTATTGTTTCGATACCAGTATGGAAACTTGACTGTTTTGCATCTCGACTTTGCGGCTTTTGGGCTGAAAATCGGAATTCATAGAACATTTTAATTCACAATGAAAACCATAAAAAAATGTCGAAATCCCAGGCCGGCAAGCCAACAAAACAAGATTTTCAAGTATAACAGATATTGAAAGTAACATGTTTGTCCACGAAGAAGATTGACAACCTAAATAGCCGGATCCAGATCGTCGTGACACATTTTTGATGTGTTTTGTATTCCCAATTATGAGTTCAAAGAAAATATACACTCCAAGGGTCAGCATCTGACCTTTTCTCTTGTGTAAGGATGGGTATATGAATATGTTTATAACGCTTTTTTGGAGTAGAAAATCACCTTTAAAAAGCAGTTGAATTGGCCAGATTTCACATTTGGTTATACACTTATGCGCCTGATATGTGTAAAATTAAACGTGAAATTTATATACAACAATGAAAAGTTTTATTTTGAAGCACAGAACTCAGCGCGTTGTTTAACGAACTACTTAACGATCGAGTATAACATATTTCTGTAACAAAACCCAATGAAAGAACTTTTGGGTAATATTCGCCCTAGAATAATGCGATTCTTTTCCTACAATATCTTGAATAAAATAAATCACAGAAACAATATGGGATTGACCTTTATATGACTGCTAACAGAATGTTACGTTCGAACTTTTGACCATATTTGTGTGGATCGAATGGATGTGACATCTGCTGCTATTACAACGTATAAACGTATGTGTGTTTGACTTTCGGATATTGTTCAGTTATGGAAAGTAATAACTTATAACCGATTCTGAGCGGTCATGATGGCAGCGTGCTGATATTTATTGTATTATGTTAAGAATAAAATATAAAGTTTTTGCCAAAAACTATAAGTTCATAATTTGGTTGTTAGTTTTGAAAATAATAAATAACTCGAAAATTTTTCGTGCTTTGAAAATTGAGCATTGAAGGAGTACTTTTGCATTTTAGTCAGGAACGAAGCCCATGCCTAAATTCAAATTAAATCGAAAACGTAACAACAAAACTAATTGCAGGAATAAAAATGCACAGTTTTTCCCCATCGATGAATTGAAAGTTCGCGCAACTAATACTACTGAATCCAACTAAGTAGAATATTATCTAATTAACTAATTATCTTCATTCTTACAAGCATTAAATGGAAAACAAAAGTTAATATTTGCACAAATTATATTAATTTGTAATGCAACGTGCCATGTAATTAAATTATTTGCTGTAGTCATTTGTCTATTTCAACTAAAGAAAACGGGAAAGGTATTATAGATAAGAAACATGTATGAAACGTTAATGACTTAATGAAAATATTGAAATTTTAACAAAAAGGGCATGGGATTTCAAATCATCATGCGTTCATCCCAATAAGAATCATGTCCTCTAAACATTTTCGCAAAAATCTCGACAAATACAAAAAAACCAAATTAGGGCCATGAATAGCAAAATTCTCAATTTTTGATAAGATATAGCGGGGCTAAGAATGATGTTAATCCAGCATCAAAGAGCTCCCCATGAAGAAAAAACCGATCCTTCCTCTTCAGCTCAAAGTTATTACCCGACACGTCAAAACAACGAGACGATAATTGATCATAAAACCAGAACAGTCCGGAACAACCCCCCGAGTAGACAGAGACGCGCGTCTTAAGGGGGTGAGAAAGTAAATCTTCTTGTAATATCCTAAGCGAGAGGTCAGATCCGTAACATGCCATCATTGGCAGATGTCAACTGATATACGAGCGCGCTAATAACTTGGCTTATTAACAGTAAATTTTCTTGCACCCTCAATCTAATATCAACCCCTTGGGAAGTTTTGGAATAACGTTCGGCCCGCGTGAGGATAGAAGAAGGACAATAATTTCGATTCTTCGAAACTGTGTTAATTGTTTTCGGGTAATTTATGACGAGAATTGGCGTTTTGTGTGATCCGAATTGAACTGAAGCAACTAGAATAGACTGACTTTGTTGGGCTCTGAATAAAATGTATTTAAATTTTTTAAATTGGGTTTTTAGGCATTTTTTATTCATGCATTTTCTATTTGCGTTTGTTGCTGATATTTTCGTTAAATTCTTGTGTCTTTTCTGAAGATTTTGAGTGTCCTTTAAGCAGATGATGAGCAAAAAGACCATCTGATCTAATTTGTATTAAGAGAAAACGCCCGGTTCACCTACCATTGATGATCAAAGCCCCTCAAAAAAATATGTTTTTTGAAATATCGAGGCAAAAAAACGATGGATTTTAATGAATTTCGATGCAAATTTGTTCTTTTGTAAGGCTCATATTTTGATGAAGCAATCGAGTTCATACGCTTTGGGCAAGTGTTGAATTTTCTTCGTCTACGTACAAAAACTACCAGAACTTTTTATGTATTAGTTGGGATCTACTGATTTTTTTTGAGTTTATGCTCTAATCTTCTATTGACGTTTTTGTCCTTTTTGTAATTTGGCATAAATTTGCCCACGATTAGCGATGTACAGATTTTACAAAAACGAACGAAAGTAAATAAAGTCATCTACCTTTCGGAGCCCATTCAGTGAAAACTATTCGATCAAATGTTGGTTTGAAAAGATTTAAAAATCAGCCATAAACTCTGTGACACCCCAAACCATTTATCACCCGAATTCCTTCAATGACTCTCCAGCTCTTTAAATATCGGCAAAATTCAAAGATTGAAAAGAGATGCTACCGTTCCATTGATGCGGACCGCATTTAACACTCAGATTCTGTTCATTCTCGCAACAACGCACAGTCTAAACGAGTTATTGACTGATCAATGTACGATCCGTCCATTCATACTGTGAGATGGCATTGTGAAAAAAGTCGCTTAGAAAAAGAGGATGGGAATAAGTGATGGTTGACACCTCGTGATGGTGACCAACTGAGCTTTGAATGACGCTTACATGGTAAAGCTCCATCCTCTGAGCTTAGCCATGAACAATATAGAAGTTCGTTCGGTTTTTCATTAAAAAAATCTTGAGTTTGGATGATTTCAATTCAGATACGATGTGAATAGGAAGCATTACGATCGCTTAACTCATTAATGATAACTCTAATCAAACTTTTTCATTGCACAACAAAACGACTGTTTGGAGCAAATGCCGTAGATGAATTTATGATCGAAAATAGAACTTTTCTTCTCCGAGATGAGGGTTTTTAATATTCAAAAATTTTCAAATAAAATATGGTGAACAATATCACAAAGTAATTGGATAAATTGGTATTTATATTATCTTCACATTAATCTTCATCTGAAATCTTATCTGCTGTAGAAGCAGATGAACAGAGTTTTGGAAATTCAATCGAGTGACTAACAAGAGGATCGATTAGTTAAAATCCAAACATAAATATCCTTTCACATCTAAAACAGATGATAAAGAAAAGAAATAAATCTCCTCATTCAGTCCTCGTGTGAGTAAATAGAATCCTCAGGAGATCGTTCGGGTCATCGATTCAATAGTGGGGACATCATTCCGTTAATGATTGCCCGCATTGTTGTTCGCGAACAGAAGGAAAAAGGAATTTTCAGGCCTATTGGAACGTGTTTTTGTGTTCACTAGGTAGTCTTTATATTGGCGGTTACGAGATAATCATCTGAAAGGTATCTTTTTCAGAGATTGGCACTTTAGGTGTCAATGCGGATGTCCAAGCCTACAGTAATACGAGAAATCGTCGTGTCTGTTAGGGGATTATTACCTGTTATCAAGGTGTGATGCGAAGAATATCTTGGACATATGTTAAGGGTATTCATGCAAAAATTCGGTACAATTTCTCAAAAATTTTGGTTTTTAAGCGGAAATTTTTTGAGCATTTAGAGAAATCCTCAATGATTATTTTCACCCATGGCCTGTTTACTAATTATGAAGAATACATATACATCCGTACCGCTTTGTCCATTCGTAAAAATGTTAACTCGATCAAGAAATGTACTGAGCTTTCAGTTTCCATACAAGAAAAAATTGTTTTCGAAAAGTTCATTTCGAGGCATTAATTTCAAAAAATAAATTAGAATTAAGATTGTGTTAAATGATGAGGAGAACCCTAAAAAAATATTGGCTGGGTGAAATTTTTAAGATGTTGGGGTTTTTCAGTTTTCAAACGTGAAAAATTTTAGTTAGGTAGATACTTAAAATTCAGTATAATCTCACATTTCCAAGTCTAAAAGATTAAAACTTTTGAATTTATAATTTTCAATTATGAAGAATATAAACCCTTGTTAAAGCGTAAAAATATATTTACCTACTTAATAACATTATCGAAATGTTCAGGGATTTCAATTACCAAATTTGGAAAGTTCCGTGTGCTCTCAAATGTCTTCAATCTAAAACATTACCACTTTTGAATTTATAATTTTTAATTGTGAATAATAGTTTACTAGTTATGAAGAATACACTTACAGAATAAAAAGCTTCAAAACTTACTTGAAGTTTAGTGTAATCCCAAATGTTTTCAATCTAAAACTTTCGAATTCAGTGATTAGATCGTTTCTAAACCATGCTGCATGGGGTGTGATTTTGATACAAATAGCGTCATATTCAATGTAATTTTAACGCTTTTCTTCGGCAGCAAAGATCGAAGAGTAATGCAGAAAGTCGCAACAGACAGATTTCTCCCTATGCTGTCAATACCAGGTGTTGAAATGATTGACAGATTCACCCGAAAACCCCTTTTTCAATCAAAATTCGAGAAGATCGATATAATCCGCTACAGGATATTTGGTTTTGCGCCCAATCACAATACAAAGGAAATATTCTCTTTTATTGGCAAAATTAGGGTTTGGTGCAAGAAATTTACATCCCCTTTCGGGTACAAAGAGATGGTCTGAACGTGTGAAAAAAAAAACAGTTACAGAATAACTTTTAAATTAATCCAAATAATTGTATTGAAGTGTGTTAAGATTGTTAATGGAATTTGTATCGGGGTAAAAACATATGTATTTTTAAATAAAGGTATGTTTTACTTTACAAACAGCTACAGTAAAGTAAATTTACTGGGGCGGTTCAAAAATCGCTATAATTTTATTTAATCATGGCTAAGATTTAAAGCTGGAAAACTGTTATAAGGATTTATCCACAAATGCACATTCAGTAGAGCGTTTTTTAGACGCCCTGTATCCAAAATTACAATTAATCTTATCCTCATTGCACTGCATGACATTCGTTTCGTTGCGATCGTGATGAGAGCTTCATGCAGTCAATGGTTGGATTTCACTTGATCACATAATAATTATATGATGAGTACGTTATCTTTGTAGTGAATAATTTGCACTGATAACGACATTGTAACTATTTGAGGCGAAGCATCCTGATCAGCGCCAAATTTGCAATCAAGTTAACCCTTTGGAAGTGCCAAGATAAGAGTTTAAACGTTTGTATCGAACTCGTGGAATGGATGCATTGGCAGCTCGTCACGCTGTCTCTTCAACTGAATGGTATCTGAGAAGATTCTGAATTGTGGCAATGATGTCACGATTGATTGTAATCTTATAAAGTTAATACGTCCTTCATGTTACGTACAATGTCAGTAGTTGGAATTTATTGATTGGGCGACTTAACAGATGTACACATTTTTAGTTTCACGTTTAAAAAGTTGAATTTTGAATAACGTGCTTAATTTATTAAATCAGATATGTTGATATGGAAAAATGTATGTTAAAAAGAACCTAAATAATGCACAATTTAAGCAGAGTGTGAACTTGTTAATCACAATAAATATCAGCAGCTGTACTGTAAGCTGTATTTTAAAAAAACCTGTTGTAAAACCTTGCAGAACAATGCTAAAGCACCAAAAGAACAAATTCTAAATTAATTATCAAAAAATCACCCATCTCTTACCGCGTTATTTACGTGTCAAAATATACAGATTTGGCCAATTTCCAGTTGTTTATGATTATTTAATTTACTCACCATAACAATTGGACTATCTCATAATTATGTAGTTATAAAAGAAACACCAAAAAATTACTTGCGTCCACTAATAAATAATCTATTGCAAAGTAAGTTCAATTAATTCCGCACGCTGACTAAAAAATGTGTAAAACTCTCGTTAAACTCAGTGAATAGATAAGATGCTTACTGCGAAGATAAAGAGATATTGTGATTCGAAACGGGAATCCGTATCTAAACTGAATTTGAAGTCAATGTGTCTACTGATATCTAGCAAAAATTTCTCAAAAATACAATTATAGCCATCGTTTCCAAATGTTTATTCTGTTGAGAGATATAGGCTGATAGGTATATTAAATAATGCCGCAACTCACACAATACTTAATTTGTATATAAATAAGCAAGTACAGGTTTCGAGACGTCCTGGAAGGGTTACGGACCTATTAGCTCTCATCAGCTGGCTTTTTATCTGAGGTTCGAAACCATAGGGGTGTCTGAGATTAACACATTAATTCGCAAAATGCTGGTGGTTCTGATGCTAAAAGTTCCATTGATCTTCATTTTATGGGTAAAAATAAACTTTTTGCTAAAAATAATTTAAAAATGTGTTTCTAAAGTTCGTCCCATTGAAATAATAATATAGTGATGAGCGAAGCAAAGTCTCGGTCTGGTCTTGTCTTGGTATTGGTCTTGCAAATCTTGCTTTAAGGTAAAATTAAATAAATGAATTCAATAATAACAATAATAAAATTAAAAGATAATTGTAACAAACGCATAAGAATGCTTAACTCTCGACTCAATAATCTCACACTGTTTGCAATTTGATTTCCGTATGATTTTCGTCTTCTTCTGAACTTTTCTGATTGAATTTTTCTTGATTCTGAATTGAAATTGATTCTTTTATTAACAATTTCAAGGTAGAAATAAAAATGTTGGCATACCCCCCGAATTAGGTACTCTAGAAGAGAACAAAACACATCGAACATTTCTTATCATATTTCAGTGCTACGAGGACAGGTTCAATATCGAACTATTGTTTTCAAGAGCCTTAGTCTTGATCTTGAAAACCAAAAGACAGTCTTAGTGCAAAAGAAATTGCAAGATAATAACATGATCCGTTTTCATAAATTGTAAATTTTTTGTAGCACAAATTGTTGACACACGCCAACCTCTTAAGACCAACATACTTTAATTGGATGATTCTAAAAAAAACGTCCTTGTTTATCTGTAAACACTTGATATTGAAAGTACTCTTAGAACATTAAATGTCATCGCAAATTTGAAAAATCAAATATCAAGTGATTTATCACAGATGCGTCAGGAAAGTGGATTTGAAAGCTTATACCAGATAGGAAAAGCTCACGAGCACATTCCAGATTATTGAACACATTCAAATTCCAATAACTATTAGGTAAAGAAGTAAAAATAAATCTTTAATTATGCTTGAATTGGTCGCGTTATTACGTGAAATGTAAAATTTACATTTGAAGAACACATGTACTCAAATAAATACAAGTATTATCAGATTAATCTAGAAAAAAATAATGATTCTATAGGATGTTGATGTCAAGTGCCAAAAATGCACACGTGAGATATGATAACACACTTGGATACTGCACACTCAGTTGTCAGTACTTTTCCAAAAACTGATCGTGAAAAGTGGATTCATTGATTCTATAATTTTCTCAATTTTGCCATACTGATAAAGCTTTTAATGGTGTCTTAAACAGCAGATTAATTGGTATGGAATATTTATATTTAAACCAACCTATTTTTTTTTCTACGAAACTTTTTTTTCTTCAATTTAACTTAATTGACTAAAGCCTATTAAAATAAAATAACGAAGATTTTACAATTTACTGCCCAACTATTTCTGTACTTACAATTCGCAAATGACATGGAGTCATACCGATTGGCAAGTATAGTTAATAAAATGTTTATTGAAATGCCTAAAAACACTGACAGAAAAAACGCTCTGTAAAGCACTAATTTTGTATTTCTCAATAAAAATTCCAATAGCCCACCACGTATCCCTTTTCTCACAAACTACTCGAAAAAACTATTCGCGAAAGTTTTTATTGTAAGATACACTACACCACTAAACTGTTAAAATAACACTCATTGTTGACAGTTTTTGATCCAAATTGCATGAAGAGGTCTAGTTACGTGTCGTTTATCGATACAAGGGGTGGTTTTCATCAGCGCTATTGGGGTGAGAACTGTGAACAGTATTTGTACATTATTTCCTAAAATAAGGGAGATATAATCCGTGGCTACTGGGGTGTGAAATTAGAACGGTTTTTAACTAAAGTAGTGTAAATTGTCGATAAGAAACGCGATTTTGATAAGTCACTATTATAAATTTCGATTTTCAATTGGCGTTCGAGCGAAGAACAAATAATAATTGGCTTTTGAGAATAAGAATTCGTTTGTCACTTTATCCTACCTGCAGGCGTAAGATTCGCCACATATTTTTGAAGCTTCTGCAAAAACGAAACTTAGCAACACAGAAAAGGAAAAACGTAAAGAAAAATAAAAAACCTATTTTACTAGTTACCTTACCTCCCATGCAAATCGAGGATGTTCCGGAATACTAGCCCATTTCCCTTGAAATGGTCCATATCTAGTGCCTTTGCTGATGTTACTTCTTGCATAAACTCGATCTTCTTTCAGCTCCAACTCACTAGGTAAGGCTCCACTTGACAAAATAATGTCTCTTGTTCTCTTATAGAACATGTCAAATTTGCTCTCATCTTGTTGGTTGAAAAAGCCGTTGTTGAACTTGCCGTTTTGCAAGCACGGTTTATGATTATTATCGTACAGATCCGATTTGACTGAAAGTTTCTTAATGTCGGACATTATATCTTTAGAATGTTGGAAGTTGTTGTTTGTATAGGGCTGCGGTTCTTCAATACTGTTGTCCAGCTGATCAGCTTCCGATGTCACTTCTATCTCATCTTCGGATCCTTCTGGAAAATAAATGCATCTTGAATGAATTGTACACAAAATTGGACTTCACAGCCCGGTAAACTACTAAACCGTAATGTGTTTTTTTACTGAAAATGCTTTCGTGGAGCTGATAATTAATATATTTCGTAATCTCAGACGGAACCACTCGAGAGACATCAACTTACTCATCTGCAAGTACCTTACTATTTTTTTTACCGAGGAAGACTTGTGGTGTGTATTTAGGTTCATGTTTACTATTTTATACTTCCACAGATAAACACGACTTTATTCACACTGATTCGCCAAATACCGTCCCTTTGCGGCTCCAGTTTTCTTGTACACATTTAATGAAAATTATTGATAAACCCTAGTTTTATTACTAGTTGTCAAGCTAGATTTCTTTTGTGGTTCCAAGTGTCCGCCTTTGTTCTGTTTGTTCAGGATCAAATCCTGGCGATGCCGAAATTATCAGGTTTCTGCAATTTCCACAGGCCGTAATTTCGTTATCTCTTTGAGCAGCTTTCGTAATGTTTGCTTCGGATGGTGGACGCTTTTTACGGCTTTGATGCAGGTGAGAAGTCATTGATAGTCTTGTTGTCTCAGATAAGTATTTTGCTGAGTTATTTTGCTTATAACAAGAAGTCATGTTGCGGCAGGTTTCTTTGTGTAACAATTTATCTATTCATCAAATTTAGCTCAGTAGATGAGTTTTTATTTATTACTGCAGTTCCGGAAAACATTTATCATTACATTTGGGGAAATGTTAATATAAGACATTCAACATTGGAATGTTATCTATGCAAAAATGGTGTATGCATATTAATTAATTCAAAATAAAACCCGGTTACCTTTATTGACTATAAAGATATTTTATATTAGATCTTGACTTTTTGCACCTTGCCCTAATATTTTTGTGTCCAGCAAGTGATACAATGTTCTATTTGGTAAACCATCAAGAGGCAAAAATAATGATATGAATTTATAACACTTTTATATGTCATGGAATCTCATAATAATAATACCACTAAAAGATTTTGAGTATTACCATTTCAAGCTATTGTACCTAAAGTGATTCCTTAGCCTGATAAGGAATATTCACATATACGCACTTAAAACATTTCTTTTACGAAAATATTTCTCGTACAAACCAAAAAAAAAATGTTTTGTAAACTGGAAAATATTTTTTTCTCGCTATGCCAAGATGGGTTCATTAACTAATTTTGCAACAGCTTAATAACCCAAACTAAGTTTTCATTTCTACGAATTATCGAAGACAAAACAAAGGTGTCATTTTAAGGATAATGACCTTTTGGTACGTGCTGTACGAACAGTCTTGGCGAGATAAAAATCGAGAGGAATAACATTTGAAAATATCTCCTTTCAAACGGATTGTGTTCACGTATAATGTCACTTCAAGGAATACCGATAATCAGCTCAATGTTTCCGTGGGAGGAGGTTTGAATTTTTGCTCTAAATAAAGTTATTTTTATCGCCTCTGCCCCTGCTGATATGTTACGAGACTAAAACAAAACGACGATTGTTTTGTTCGGGTTCTTTGCCAAAACGTTTGCTCATATTCAAATTAGAAAAAAAACGATTGTGAGGATTTTTTCAAATTCTAATTGCAAGAGTACCTTGAATTTGTTGAAGCTTACTCTAATTAATAAATAATTGATTTGTAAATTAATTCTTTTGATTGGATTTTATCTAAACAATACTATATGGTGCATAGTCAGTATAAACAGCCAACTTGCTACTTCTCTGGCATTATCTGTAAAATAAATTAACTAGTCACATCCTGTAACACTATATCAGACGTAGGTATATTGAATGAGATAAAAAACAATTTACTACATTTTAGGTGGAAAAGATACGGGCGACGCTCTAAAATTAGAAATTTAAGTAAAGAAACTGTTTTTTTTTTAATTAGGGGATCAATACAATTATCTCAGTCTTCATCTACGAAGCGTAAATAAGTGAACATCTATGGAATATAATAAAACGTTTTAATCACAGACTTGACTGTTGCGCTTTGCGGTGAATTATCAATATTTTCGATAAATGTGGCTTATTTGCATAACAATATCATGCAATGAAAAATCAACAATCGCCGACCCTATTCATGGAACTTCTCCGAACTTTTGAGACAATGTGGACAAATTTGCGTGAAATTTGTGCAAGGATGCGTTTACCGATTCTTCACTTCAAACTCTTAGAACCGTATTGAATAGAATCACTTTACTGCCAGTACCGTGTCAGGCAGCCCATTATCTTTGAGATGGACCCGGTATTGTTTCAATGCGCTCAGCTTGGAGACAAAAGTGACAATGGAGATGCTTCTCAGAAATCAGTACTAGCGATTGTTTGTTTATGGATGCATCTTCTCGAATATACCTGTACACTTTAGTCATGTTTAATAGACGGACAAACACGTTGGAAGGTTGGGCATAAAAAACATCTAAATGTAAGCTAGCTTACTATTTTAAAAAACTTTCCAACATTTGGGTGTATATTTTTGTTTAATTTCCATCGGACAAAAAATCAGCGACAAGACAATGTATGGTTAGACCGAGAAATAGAGTTAAATGTCGCAAACAAATATGAAAATTGCCATTAATTTAGAATTTTTCACTGTTTTAGGAGAGTGGTTGCTCAACGCCTTTGGCTCAACGATACTTTGAGAAATTCGATAATGAATCCAAGTTGCATTTAATGAAATTTTCAAAGTACAAATCTTATCTTATAAAAGCGTCGTTAAAACCACACCAATGTTGCGGTTTACCATCTTGAGGACGATAGTAACGCAAATTTGCTGCTATCTATTGAATGTGTGAAAACCATCTGAATTAATTGGAAATAAATTGAAACGGATATCCTAGCAGACCAAATCATATCTTTTCTGCGGTTATAAAAACTGAACTTCTCCTGCTTAATTAGGCTATGGGAAGCTGATCAAGGTTTAGACATTAGAGTAGCACTTGAACGGTTATGATATATCGCTGATGCAATTGTTAGAACTCAGTCCAAAATGTTAAGAAATTGTTTTTTTTTTATTTATTCAAATTATACAGACATATGAGTTTATAGAAAATATTTTCAATACTGATTTAAATTTTACGTTTCCATTTTGAGCCAATTGTCTTTCAATTCAATAATTAATGAAAATATGTTTTTGAGGACATTTAATATCATATTAATTCGAACATGTTTTATCAGACAATCAATTCAATTTTATTAGTGCAGACCTTGATGATACTGATTTGAGGTTGAACTCGCTTAGTTTTTATTTTATAATTATATGGAACACATCAAATCATTTTGGTTATTTTATAATTATATGGAACACATCAAATCATTTTGGTTATTTTTAATTAAGTCTCATGTGTGTTCAAAACAGATTTAACGACAATTATCTTAAAATAAAATTCCAACTGCAATGAAAAATCGCCATTAAGTACTACAATTAAAATAAAATGGCATTTGCTTGAAATGTATAGTATGTATGTTAAAATCCTTGCGAATCAATGTAAGAAGTAAATAAGGAAATAAAAAAAAATTATGAATTTCATACAATTAACAAACTCTACTAATTGCATCATCATTCTCATAATTATGTACTACACTTTGTCTTTATAAATAAAATAAAAATAACTTCTATTGGGCAGCGGGCTTGCAAGGCTGTTTTGACAATTTCTTTATTTATCCTCCTAGGAAAAAAAAGAAAGAAAGTTTCTGTACTTTCTTTAATTAGGAATAAATAGTTGGGAGAGTGGAGAGTTGGAAAATATGGCTCATTGCAGAGAAATGTGATGTTGACAACTTGTTATCTTCAAAACAGCTAAGCCTAAGCAGATACTTGGGGTGTCAATTAAGTTAATTTGAATATTCGAATAAATTACAAAAGGGTTTAATAAAAAAATCACCTTGGCTGGTTTATTAGGCAGAATGCAAAGCTAAAGCTACATTAACAAACTAAATTGCAGACATTGCAGACAAGTGTTCATGAGCTAATAGAAATTCCTAAGATTTCTCAGTTTAAAACTTTAACACAAAAACAGACAAAAAGGAGATAAAAATGCCAGTAAAAAGATATTTATCATATAAACCACCCTGTAACAATGTATTCCTTTGATAAAAGAATTTCGAAAGATAATATGTTAAACAGTATTAAATTGACTATAGGAATCTAAAGAATTTGATAAAAGCACTCGACATTTTCGATACTCATCGCAGACACATAGGATATAATTCGAGGATTGTAAATTAATCACTGACACTTGATCATTTACACACGCACTCTCAAAATCTATTGCTGCTGCTGTAGAATTAATTACATGTTGTAAGCTCTGTATGGTAATTTGATTGAATTGGAGCAATAAAAAAAATTCGTATGTTTGTTCACAGTTAAATCACTGAGTTCTTCTAAAATACTCAGCAGGTAACTCAAATTTCAAAACAAACTGATGAATACGATCATTCACGGTTCAATTTTAGTTAGTTTTGAAAAACTATCCTTGAGCAATTTTACAGCTTCATTCTTTCATATTCTATTAAGTTTGTCACATCCGCTCCTCGTGCCTAGAATTAGGCTTCAAAGCAAATATTGCATCGGATTAACTATGATGACATTGATGGTTACGGATGTAATTAAATTGTTTGATTACACTTAGAATTTGATCTCTTTTAATCGGCAATGTTCTGTTTAATTGCTCATCAGGTAGAACGCATCTGGTGGATATCCATTCTGCGTAAACAATACGCCACTTAGTAAATGACTTAGTCTATCGACGTCTTATCTATTAGTCTTCGAAGCTCAGCGTTTTGTGCTATCTATCATACCTGTCATGGTGCGATCCAGTTCCAGCATTATCGACCTAATTGTGACAAATCCGTGATAGTTCAGAATCAAATCACCGCAATCAAATGGACGAAATTAGTAGTCGATCAGCACTGCTAGAGTCAATATGGAAAAATCACTCAATATCACTTGTGCCGCACTTCGCCTTGCCGTTCCACTCAT